CCTGAGCCAGCCAAAAAAAAAAAAAAAAAAAAATCCTTCTCAATTTAGGGGGCTGGGGCTAAAGCTCAGTGGAATAAGTGCTCTCCTGGAAAGCACAAGGTCCTGACTTTGATCCCTGGTACCACAAAAAATAGTAAAATAATAACAAAATAACAAAAACAAAAAAAGAAATAGCCAAAAAAATTATGGTGCATCTAGTGTGCATACACACATATACACCTCCTGACAATTTTTTCCATTTTCTTTCATCTACCACCCTAGCAATATAGTACCTGTTCTGTGGACCATCACCAACCAAATATTCAACAATTCTATCCAGTGCACCTCGTTCTCGGGGAAGAATGGGTCTTGCTAAGGGTGGACCTGGAGGATGAAGACCTGGTAAATAAAAAATATGTATCAAGCTTAAATCTATAAGACATGTATAAAACTTAATTACCAAGAACTACTTATGTTTGTTAGAATTTTTAAAAGATTTGAGCAACAGCAAAACTAATTTTTTTTTAGTAGAACATTTAAATTTTCATTAAAAATATTGCACTACAAGAAAGGTACTTACATATTTTATATCAAAACCACCAACTTAATTTATCAGGAGATAAAATACTATGTTAGGTTCTTTGCAAACTCATTTTTAAAACATCCCAACTCTATAAGCCTGTAATAATAATCAGGAAACTTGTACTTTGGATTATAATGGAATAACAGGGATCAGGTTTACCTTTCTATATAAAACACCAAGCAAAATATACAAAGTAACAGACTTAAAGATACTTGACTTCAGGCACTGTAGGTTGAGATGAAAAACAAGACATGCCCAACAATTGCCTCAGCTTATTGCCTGCAGAGAATTCCCAGGCGTGGTTCAAGGACAGAGAATACAGCAGTCTCCAAAGGGCGAGAAGACAGTGCTTGGGAGGCCAAGGCCTGGCAGGTTCACATAAACGCATACCAAAGATGGGAGAAGGCACAAAGATCTTCAGAGGGTCTCCCCGAGTATTCAGCAGACTACTCATTAGTGCATGCATACAAAGAATCTACCTGAAAGTAGAAAAACAACCCACAACCAATGAAAGAAAACAGTATTCATGCAAGGACAGAAATAGTGCCTATTTTTACCAAATGGAGTGGAAAATCTAACAGAGATCAGTTGGTAAAATATGAAGATTTTGTAACAGAATAAAAAAAAATTACACCATAAAGTAAATTTTACAATGTCTGGCATCAGATCAAAAATTACTAGACAAACAAGCAGTAAAATACTATTCATAAGGATAAAAATTAAATAAAATTGGTTCAGAGATAACAGATACTCAAATTAGTAAGCAAATATGTTGGAAAAACTTATTATGTATATTTTCCACATATCTGAGAATCTAAAGGAATGCTTTAGAATGTTAAGTAGAGACATGGTAAAGTATCTCAAGTGAATTTCTACAAATAAATATTATAAAGCATAGAATAAAAATATTCATAGATGGTATGAACAATTTAGATATTACAGAAGAAAACACTCCAACCTTGAAGACATGTAACAATAGAAACCATACATAAACACATAAAAAGGATTATAACTTTAAAGGAAAAAAATATCAAGTATATAAAGATAGATTCATAGGTGTGTGCGTGTGTGCGTGTGTGCGTGTGTGCGTGTGTGTGTGTGTGTGTGTGTGTAAAATGAAAGACAGTGAAGATGGGAGAAGAAAATCATATACCAATCATATAAATTTTTTTCTCAATTCAACAGAAGTTACAACCCTATATAATCAAAACCATCAAACAAGTCCCAGGCACAAATAACAGAATTTCATACCAAAAGACAAATAATCAAACTGTTGAAAGGAAACATAAACAGATAAGAACAACAGCAGACTTTTCAATAGAAAAGAAAATGTAACCCAGACAACAGCGAAACAATATCTTTAAAGTTCTGAAAAGAAAAAAGTATCAAACAATAGAAGGAAAAAAATGGATCAAGTACAGGTATTAAGATAGGATATGTTTTAAAGCACATAAAAAGAAAAGTAACTGCACAGTACCAGAAGGATCAATTTATCAAGAAGAATCCTGAGCATATATGATTATCATACAAGCTTTAAAAAACATGAAATAAAAATTGATAAAAATTTAAGAAATACATAATGACAGTTTAAAAAGTTTCAACATTTTTCTCAGTGATGGATAAAGTACACAGAAAATCAGCAACAATATGGAAGATTTGAACAAGACTACTATACTACTACCTTAATCTAATTAACAGAATACCAGCTCTACCCAATAGGTATAAAATATCTTCTTGGTCTGGGGAGATAGCTCAGTAGAATAAGCGCTTGCCTGGCAAGTACAAGGGCCTGAGTTCAATCCCTGGTCCTGCCAA